AAACATATTTGTCGACAACAACCGATCCTAGTGTCGCTTACAAATTTTGCGGAATAGACATTGATTTACCAGAAGACATGTCTATTGAAGAACATGGATCACTTGCAGAATTCAATGCTTATGTGAAACTCGCGTGTGTTCCACCACATTCCTCTGAAAATGCGGCAATATTCTATGAAATAACGATCGATCTAATGCATAGAGTAGTAACTCCGTTTGCTTGCCTCACAGAGTTTGCTGGTTGGTCTGTTGAGAACGAAATATTATTTCCGATTGGTACGATGTTTGTAATTGAATCAGTCGAGAAAAAGACAAGTATATCTAATCAAGAATATTGGTATGCTAAATTATCTCTATGCGTCGATTATGACCTAGTTGAGCAAAGGTCAAATAGCACGGCGGATATTATGATATTACATTTGATCGAACTTTGTCGTCGGCTACCATCTGATTCGGATATTGGACGACAAAAGATATTCCGTCAATGTCGAAAATATTATTCTTCTAGCGAATCGCAATTAAGGAAATTAGAAGAGTTTAGTCAAAGTTATAGCCCTTCAAACACTATAATGTGGTATACACGAGATTCATTTCTTTATCGTACATTAAATAGAGCATTACGAACTAATAATTATCGTATAATAATTAATTTTAGTTTTTTCATACTGGATCTTCACGCGCAGCTTGTCAAGACTTATGAAGACTTTTCAAAATTATTGCTGAATCAACTGAATCCGAATGTATTAACTGTCTATCGCGGCCAACAAATAACTCTATTCGAACTAGACAAAATTAAGCGAAATGTGGGACAGCTGATTACATTTAGAACGTTTCCGTCAGCCAGTCTGTCGCGAGATGTTGCCCTTATATACGCTGGCAACGATACACTCCAATCAAACTACAAGTCTGTCTTATTCAAAATCGATATCGAGGTAACTCAGCGTATAACAGAACCGTTTGCAAATGTCGAAGACTTCAGTTTTTTTCCAGACGAAAATGAGGTGTTGTTTTCAGCTGGAACAATATTCCGCGTTCGGGCTGTTCAACAAATAAAAGATGAAAACGTTTGGATCGTTCATTTAAAAATGTGTAACGACGACGATGATCAAGTCAGAGTGATTAAGAGGTTTATTAATGCTGTATTGTCAAAAATAGACGAAATCAAACAAAACACATATGGAACAGATGTTGTAGAAGGTTTATGCAATTTATTACGTTCAACCAACGGCATGAGAATAACTCCAGTAACAATCGACGAATCGATACCGATGTATCAGCAAAACATCTGCGCACCTGAAAGCAGCCCGCTTCTCAATTCGCTAAACCAGCGTTTGAACTGTCCACGTTGCGGCAAAAGTCACAAAAACAGGAAGCGGCAAGTTCAATTATACCGACAGTGGTTAAATCAAATAGGAGGAATTTTTTAACAAACCTTCCTTTCTTTGGTTTTTGCTCTCATTCCTTTACAAGTACGATCTGGCTTTCTCCAATCTATGACGACATGGCCTGATGGTTATGTTGCTCGTCATGTACTTTAGATAGTGTCGAAATACGATTTTTGTATGTAAGATGATTTTACTTAAATTCTGTTATTTTCAATATATCGTGTTTCATAAAAAACGTTAAGAAGTCAAAAAACATCAATATTTTTGTTATTGATATATGACATGATTTATTTGTCTATTTACCCGATACTTATGTTGATCTATTGTACAAATGGCAAAGTGATGAAAAACGTGCAGTATTCGACAAACAAGAAGCGTTTTTGTTTGCAATAGTAGAAAAATGGCAGGCAGCGAGCATCCCAGTGAAACAAATATTAACTAATTCAAATTATTGCTTTTAAATATAACATTGATAGAACGTATTTACGCGGATTATTAGCATTATAGGTAATTGTTTGCCTTTTTTTTGTTAATAATCAATAATAATAATAATAATTTTGTTAATAATAATCATAATATTTCATACGTCATAATATTTTGAAAGAAAGAATTACTTGGAAGAGTATGTGAATATCTTTATAATCTATATACTGCAACTGCTGAGCGAGATTTCTGCAATGAA